AATAGCATCATGTTTGACAAGCATTTGGACGGGTTTTCCAGAGCAACTGAGGCAGTTTCTCTGTGAGGAGAACTGAGAGATGGACAGAAGGGATGATTTAGGGTTGGACTGACAGAGGAGGGAGAGTGCTTTGATGCAACCCTATACAACATGCAATGCAGAGCTTTATTTCCCACGATCTCTGAGCCAAACTGATGGGTTGATACTTCAAACTCATGCATGGAAGGCTTTACATGCCAACAAACCTGCGTTTACACGTGCACACCCATACACAGTTCATGTGCATAAAACATAATAGGTGCAGTCTGAAGAAATGTATCTGAGATCTCAGAGTCTTTGGCATGCCACAGGAAACCTGACAAATACACTCTGCTTCAACAAAAAAAGGGGGGGGGGGGGGCACTCAGAGGTTACATCGCTCTCCTAAACTCCCCAACTTTTAATGTTATTAATAAGTCAGCTGCTCAAATAAGAAACACTCACAATGAGAGCACGGAGAGCTAATTTCCCCTGGTCTTTAGCACGCAAGAATAAATCGATGCTAAATGAGAAATCATCCAACCAGCGACCAGCCAGCATCTCTCCAGCAGCATTGATCAATAGAAGAAATCAATGTTGCTCGCTGCCTTAAAAAGTGGAAGAATGAACGCAGTTATCTTCTCACTTTGCACTCATCGTCTCAGATCTTTTCACAGGGAAGTCAGCATGAACTCACTTTACATTTTTTACAGATTATAACCCGTGCTCAGATTAGCCACGCTGGTATGGTGTATCTCTTTTACCAGCGTGTTAACTTTCTTTTGGCCATCTTCAGTCAGAGCAACATTATGACATGAAACATAGCAATGGGTTCATTTGTTTTCTGCAGACGGCATCCTTTAAGTACATTAAAGTTATTAAAATCAGTGAGTTTCTGTACAGGATCACCAGGCCTGGATTAATGCACAGGCTTGATATGGCTTAAGCCCAGGGGCCCACGTGTGTTCTGGGGCCCCCATTAGCCAGCTAAAAATATATGATTTTATTTAAATTTACATGCAAGAATATTCTTCAACTGTATTGGCTGACAGAATCATAAGCGACACTGATTGGGTAAACATTGTGGCGGTCTTGAGTTAAGTAATGTGTCACGTAACACGTCATATTCATGTATCATAGGCTGTTGCACTTAACGAGGGAAAATGAAAAAAACGTCAGAAAGGAAATATGAGAGCGGCACTCAGAAAAGAAAAATGTATAGAATCAAAGAACAAAAGCACAAAAATATTCTGCAGAAAATCCCAAAATTGTCAGGATATTTTAAATCTGCTGCTGGACCCAACAGCAGGCTATAGAAAAGCAAGACGTTCACGATGAGAGCAACGGAGCTATGCTAGCTGGAGCGGCAGAGGTTCATGATGCTAGCTCAAAGGTGATTTTGTCCACTTGGGTACAAATACCGGATACCGTTTACCCAGGGCCCACTGCAGGGAGGGGCCCTGAGACAGCTTTGAATAAAAATGTTTTATTGTTGATGTTTTTTCCCCCAACTTAATGTCTTAATAAACTTCCCTTTACCTGGATAAAGAGGTTAAGAAACAGAATTTTGCCTTAAAAATAATAACTGAATAATCTCTGAGGCATCTATCACCCCTTAAAAATGTGCAAAGTGGTTTAGTCCACACCAGCGGCCAGGGGCTGCACGGCCGCATGTACAGCTAATGAGACATCGCAGATGCCGACAGCCAGAGCTGGAGGCAGGAGAGTCAGTCATGTCTTTTCCCAAGAAAGGGAAATCTGGCTTCCAGAAAAGAAAAGAAAAGAAAAGAAAAGAAAAGAAAAGAAGGAGAAGAAGTTAATTGAACAGAAGCAAGTATTGACTAGGTTTTTCAAGAAGGACGGTGAGTAGCAGCCAGCAGCAGCAGAACACAGTTTTAGCTGATATTAGCTAGCTCTCACAAGCTGCATTCATGTTAGGTGTTCAGTGTTAAACGCCTTTAGTTTCACCATCAAGATCAAATATAAATTAACTAGCGTTATCAGTGAAAACACGCGGCCGCCGCCAATTAATTCGCGGACCTCGCAGTAAAAACAGGTTCACTCTGTGTGGATATTTCAGCTCCTTCCCAGTCATGGACCAGGACAAACTTGGTATCGATGGATTCGTGGTAATCTCAGGAATGTGAAGCTGCCACTGTTTTTTGTATAGCATGATGACACTGGTGTTAGAGGATTGTTATTGACTTGGTTAGATATTTTAAGCCTATTTTAAATTTCTTTATATTTGATATTGAAAACGGACAATCTTATAATTTGGCTGATAATGCAGGGATTATAAAATTTAGAGTACATTACATTCACAGAGAGAACCTGGTTTATTTCATGTCATATGTATTTAATATATCAATATATATCAGTATTAGCAAAGCTTAACATCATGAACCATGACAGACATGACTGAAGAGCAGATGAAGATATCATGCCAGGCACTGATGAGAAAACATTACAAGGATCTCACAGCTGAATTTGAGAATGAGATGCTACACCTGAGAACAATATATGGTGCCACATTTCCACACATTCGGTCTCCTCTTGTGCTGCTTAATGCCATCTACAGGATGCAATTACAGAGCATTTTTGGAGAAGTTTGTATTGGACTGAGGATATTTTGCACACTACCTGTGACTGTTGCTGGGGTGAACGGGCTTTTAGCAAACTGAAACTGGTGAAAAATTATTTGAGATCAACAATGTCCCAGGATAGACTGAACACCCTAGCTCTTCTTTCTATTGAAAGCCAATTAGCCAAAGAATTGGACTTTAAAGATCTCATAAGTGATTTTGCTAACATGAAGACCCGTCAGTGGGCATTTACTGGAAAATAAATTCCAGGATTTTTGTTTGAACACATTGTTGGCAAATAAAAATAATTATATGTGAAGTCTGGGCATTTCACTTTTATTTGCTCAATATAGAGGTTAAACTAAGATCATATTTATTATCTTGTCTTATAGCATGACAAAAAATGTGTAAGAGAGATATTAATTGAGCATGGGGGCCCACCTAGAAGGCTTGTACCTAGGGCCCAGAATTTGGTGCTACGCCCCTGCCTGTACACCTAATCCTCCCCTGAGGATCACAGTGTAGGGAGACACTAGGAGACAACAATCAGTGTTTTTGGAGCTTTTAGCTGAACTGTCTCTTTATTAAACACTCTAAACTGCATTTACGTGCACATCTAAATCGATCTGGGTCAATCCAAGATAATAAACTGGGATCTTCTATTCTAGTTTACATGTACGTTATAAAACCAAACTCTCAAATGAAGTTTGTTTCCTTCAGGTACGTTAGGTGGCGATGTGCATCCTTTTGTGTTGACACTCCTCCAGTTAGCTTATAGCAACACAAAACGTAAACAAACACTGACAAAGTGAAGCAGACAAAGTTAAAACAGGATATGCACAACAAGGAGGAATGGACACCAACAAAGCTGCAGCCCAGCTCACTTTACTGTTACCGGTATCCCCTCGACTGAGCTGTTTACATGCAGATGAAGTTGGTTTCCTTCCACATTACCTGAGTGGTTCAGCAAGATTAGAACCAAGTGGCATTCAGTGAGAATTAACGCGTTTACATGCATTTAAAAAGTCAGTCTATTAGGACAATAGTTTGGTTTTCTGTTTTGTGTGCAAACAGGAGTGACACAAAAAAGCGGACTGTGTTTATAAACAACGTTTGGAACAGTGTTTATGACTTCTACAGCATCTGAGGGCATCTCTGCAGTGTTCTGACCAGTCTTAACTGACAAGTTGACATCTTACTCATGTTAAAACAGTATTTTCTCCATGATCAAGTGGAATAAAAGTAAAACTAACCCAGAGACTTATGATAATTTGTATTTCTTTTTTTTAATTCTGAAGTACCGTAATTTCCGGACTATTTAGCGCACCTCAATATAAGCCGTACCGGGCTAAAAGCCACAGATATCTACTGAATTGAAAAGGTAGTTTAACTGAACATAACTGAACTGATCAGTATCAAACATAACAGAAAAGTTATTGATTAGTTTATTCATCATCCTCCTGCGCACTGAAACCACTGAAGTCATTTTCTTCGGTGTCGGAGTTGAACAGCCTTTTCTGTGGCGATGTCCATGTTGCGGTCATCATCCCGGGGTGAAGCTGGGAAAACAAGCAGCGTCGTTTTACTGTGAAAAAATCCTCCTGGGCGCTTTCCGTAACACTCCTTTAACCATTCCTTCATTAGACTTTCCAGCATCCATCCTTTCTGGTTGACTAAAGCCGCAACTCATTATAAACCGCATGGTTCAAAGCGTGGGAAAAAAGTAGCGGTTTATAGTCCGGAAAATACAGTACCTGAAAGTTATCTTACAGTGTGGCTGATGTGAAACCTTAGAAAGCAGGTCAACAATAGAAATCAGGAGAACAGAATCATGATACTTATCCAGCACAGGTCAATGAAAAAAAAAAAAACTTGATCAGAACCCCAATCTAATACCACAGAGCGAATCATAACATCCAGTGGAGACTCTGCATCTGAAGACATCTAATACATCTGTCTCTTTGTTGCACAAACATATTTGATGTTTATTTTTTATGTTTCAGAAAAAGCTCTGTAGTCTTTCTTCAGTGGAGTTCTGTTTTAATTCTGATCATTTTGAAAATTGTTTTCAGTCCAAATAAAATGTAACTGATTTAATTTATCTTCACAAAGCTGCAACCTTGGAACTTCTGGATTTTAAATACGAAATAAAATGTATAGATTCTGGTTTATCAAATGAAATGATTAAATCAAAGACAAAGAAGCATATAATCACAAAACTCTTCATACATTTTTTTGTTTCAAATATTTTTAAGGAACTAGATGCCTGATATTACAAAAAGATGTACTGAAGAGGAGCATTGTGATTTACGGTTCTGTTGATGTTTGTATAGATGACTGAGAAGGGGTGGATTGAGACCGTATGTGAAGGAGTATGTAAAATCAAACACCAAAACTCACCAGTAGACACCATGAGAGTTTCCTTTTCTGTCGTTCGGCTCTTCTTTCCCTGCTTCCTGTTCCGGTTCAGACACAGTTTTGGACTCTACCCCATCACTCTCCACTTCCCCTTCCACCTTCCTGAGAGAAGCGAATCCTGGCCTCAACTCTTCTTCTCCGTCTGACTGAATTTCTCTATTTGAGCCACCAGATGGCACCTCTCCACCAGCAGTGAGGATGTGGTGGTTTGTGAGCTCGTCATCAGGTTCAGACCGGATCTCAGGATCAGCTGGAGGGGTCTGGTTGAGCTCTGTGTCAGGTGTGACTACTGCTTTAGTCTCAGATGGATCAGACAAGACACCTGCAGGAGCCTTGAAGTGACCTTTGCTATCATTGGTCTTCTTGTTACTCTGTTTACTGCCGCTGGGGCATCCTGGGACAAGAATGAGACAGGGACAGACAGAGACAGCTTCTAAAAAATATCAACAATAATTTTCCCAAATCTCAGTTAAACTGTCTGCTTTGCTACCTTTCTTACTCTTGTCTTTCCTCTTCATAAGCAGTCGAGGCAGCGTCCCCATGTGTGTGTAGCCCTTACTGGAACGGACGTGGCTGGCAGTGCGAGGACGCATGGCGTCAGTGTCGTCCAGTGTTGTCTCAGTGACTGAAGTCAGGTTTGCCTCACATCCGCCCTCCTTCCCAGCCTCACATCCTGAGCCTGATTTGGATTTGGAGGCCTTCGAGTCAGATTTGTTGCTGGAGCGGCGAAAGGAAATGCTGGTGATGCTGTCTAACCATTTGAAGCCTTAAAGAGGAGGAGAAAGTCAATTTGTTGCGACAAAAAGTGTAATTTCAAACTCATAGTTTGCTGGGGGGGTATAATAATTGCATATGACATCTTAAAGGAGAGCTGTCTAAGCCTTATGAAAGTAGAAGCAGAGAGGAGAGATGCACCACAGAGAGGTGGAGATCATGTCCATCTGATTGGACATCTCCAGCCCAGAGCTTCAGGCCCTGTCCACGCGTAGACGGGGTTCTGCCAAAACGTAGATATTTTTCTACGTTTTGGCCTGTCATCCACACAAAAACGGAGTTTTTTCACACGAAAACTGATCTTTTTAAAAATTCCGGCCAAAGTGAAGATCTGCGTTTTCTCCGTTTTGGGTGTCTGCGTGTGGACAGACAAAACCGGAGTTTTAAGGTCTGCAACGTCACTTTCCGCGACAAAAAATGCTGACATCAGATGTGTGACCTGTGTTTACACTAGCCGACAGCATGGATGCCCTCAGAGCTGCGCGCGCTTTATCAATTGTCCAAGCGCTTTTTGCTTGTTTGTTTTTGCAAGCGGAATTACTGCTCCTTGCGGAAGACCACAGACGAAGGACGAGGTTAAGAACGGGGGAAGTACTGCCGCCTACAGGTCTGGCATGTCCTTAACAACGTATTTATCCGGGTACGTGTGGACAGAGTTTTTTTTTAAACGAGGTGGTGTGGATGCAAGTTTTTGGAGGGGCGGATATTCATTTTTTTTAAATCTCGGCTACGTGTGGACTAGGCCTCAGACTCTCTGAATTAACAATCCAGCAGTTTAATGAATGCATTCCCTAAATAATTCATCCCACAGTGTTCAGTGCTTACTTACCTAATAGTAAAACCATTTGCTGGAACTTCTGCCTGCTGAATAATTCATCTGAGTAATTTTCCAATTCACAGTTGTCCAGTTTTAGTGAATGAAGCTCTATTCTCTGCAGACGTTTGATTATTTTATTCAACTCTAATTAACATTTTTGTTTCATGCATAATCTCACACATTCTGGTCTGGTTGAAGTGTGTTCCTTATGCCAGTGCAGTAAGACAGCTCTAAATTGTTAAAAAAAGTTATTGATCCCCAGACTTTCTGAAGATTTTCTTTAAACTTTTGCTGCTTTTTCTCTCATTTTTCTGTCTTTGTAACCAGCAGTGACATCACAAATCAGTTTGAGTTTAAATGTGAGAGAAGTGGACAACTAGAAGACCGAAAGTGTGACGACTTAAAACCCAACTTTAGCAAATGGATTGTAAAGTTGTGTCTTTTATAGGATAAAGTTGGAATACAATCAGAAAATATTTGAAAGACCACCTGAGAGAGGCTCCATCCTCCAGCTGATCACCTACAGTTCCCAAATGTTTCAGCTTTAGACCAACAAAATAAACGATAAATGACTCACACTTGCCGTGCCTTTCAGGGTCAGAGGACTCCAAAGCACTTTACACTACAGTGCATCATTCATCCATTCACACACCCTGATGGTGATGAGCTGCAATGTAGCCACAGCTGCCCTGGGGCACACTGACAGATAAAAGATAAATGATTTAAAACCCTGAAAATCACTGGCTTGGTGTGTGTGTGTGTGTGTGCGTGCGTGTGTGTGTGTGTGCTCTGTCTTCTTAATCCCCAGTGAGTCGTGGGCTGCTTATACTGAGTTATGACTCGTTGCATTTTGCTGGGTTCCTTATGTAGGAAACTTTTTGCTGATTGGCTTAATGAACTGACCTGTATTGGAATGTTTACTATGTGAAGTGCCTTGAGACGACTTGTCGTGATTTGGCGCTATATAGATAAACTTGAATCGAATTGAGTTGATGATACGCACTTTGTTGAAAAGCCTAATGAACTAGACCTAATTAATTCTTCACATATTATGCAACATATTTCTTTCCATGGCTATTACTTTTAGTTTTGGGAACAATTATAGTAAAAAATTGTGCTGGAAGTAGTTTAATTTTATGCTATTTGTGGAATTAATTTCCCCTCTCAGATATTTGCCACCCACAGTGACTCAATAATTCCAGATTAAAACTCTTTAAAAATCACCTTATTGGTACTCAAATACCATTTCATCCATATAAACCTACTCTCTTTGGTCATGTTTTAGTGACAGAATCCTGAGAAGAAACTGATAAGAGAGTCTGATAAAAAAAAACTGTGTGTGGTTACACGTCTGGTTCATCCCTCATGTTTGATGCCTTTTTGATGTCTAACTCATTCAAAGGTCACAGTTGTGTGACTAAAAACCAAAATCCTTCTTTTGAAAATGATCTAGTGGACAGAAAGCGGGTGAAAAAGCATCAATCTTTGATGATGAGATCTGAATCTTGTTCAATTTGGCAATAAAATAAGAATGATGATTCTGCTTCCAAAGCAAACACCACTGCATGATTGTTGTATTTTAACTGAAACACGTGTAATCAAGTTTACTAAAACAAATTTATTAGGAAATAAATAAACATGTTGCTCCTGAGTCTTACGAGCTGTTTTATCTGTCTGACCAACTGTGACATCAACATGTTATTTTTTTCTGTAAAACTGCTGTGGAGAGAGGTCAAAACAGTCAACCAGAAACTCTTTGCATTCGCGTGGGTGTTTGATTGTATATGTTAGTCCAGGACTCACTAAGGAGCTTTTCTCAGTCTGCAGGTTTCTACCACAAATGTGACTTTATGCAAAAGTTTCCACATGTTTTAATAATCTGTGATGGTGGAAGCAAGGAAGGAGATCTGCTGCATGTTAGAAAAGATGTTGTAGCTAAAGAGCAACACACACACACACACACACACACACACACACACACACACACACACACACACACACACACACACACACACACAGATACTCACCCAGTTTCCGTACGCTCATGTTGGGGCTTGAGCTGGATCGGCTGTGGTGCAGCAGTCAAACAAAGGAACTTATTAGTGCTAACTTCTCGTTAAGGAGGAAGACCCTGGGGGACTGTCTGCCAAGGGCAAGGCACTGCTCACACTTTGTGTGTGAGAATATGAGTGAGATGAGCAGCAGGGGCAGGGCCAACCTCATATTTCCTGTGCAAAGCTTTGAGAGCACCAGGGTAAAGAGGAAATGAAAAGCCCTAAAAGGAGAAGAGGAGGGTTGATACAGTATAATAAAAACAATCACTTACAAGGGTGCTTAGTGGATAGAAACATAAACATGAAACCACACCAACAGGAAGTAGAAAAGGTGCTGTGAGAAAATTGGCTCAACTAAAATAACTTGTGTTTTTATTCAGATGGAGTTCCTTTAAAATTTCCGCTGCAGTTCACCATAAGAGTTATTGATTTTTCCTAAACTTTGACAAAGCAGCTTTTCAATTCAGCCTAATTAAATCCAGGTTCATTATTGTAAATCTTCTAAATACATTTAAAATGCTGAAATAAATCCCCAAATCTCCAAAATGGAGTATTTATCTGTCAATATGAAATTTAACTCTTATTTACAGGAGTCGAATCATGCTTTTTAAACCTTTGAAAGCAAAGGTAGCTATTACGATGTCATTTATCTTAAATACAAGTTATTTTTGTCAGCCTGATTTCATACCTGGAAATAAAACGGTTAGTTTCAGTGAGGCTCCGCCCACGCTCACTCCTACAATACGCACCTACAGTAGCGTCTTATAGGCAAGCCTGCTGTCTCATTGGTCTTGGTAATCCAGTGTTGAAGTGCTTACTATGGCACACTAGCCACTGGAATGCTAATTCTTTTACAAACCAACAGTCGTCAAAGACATACATGTCATGTTGCGAGGGTGGAGATGGTAGGACCATGTGTGGTGGAGGGTGCAGGAGGCAGGAGAACAGGCACGGATGGAAAAATATAAACGGTTTTAATGGTGGAATGGGAATGACAGGAACAGAACAACGATGACTACAAACAATGATCTGACAAAGACTGGCACAAGGAGGGAGGTATAAATATACAGGGAAATCAGGAACACATGGGCAGGTTAACGAGGGGCAGGTGAGAACAATAAGGGCTAATCAGGGCAGGAGAGAGACACAGTCAAGAAGGCAGGGGCAGAACGTGACAATACATGAGCTGGCCATGACATGCATCTTTGTAGACAAGCATCAGTGTTTTGTCCCCAATGCAGAAGTATTTGGTCAGGATATCCACGGAAAATCCGAGTTACAGAACCAAGACCAGAGGGAGGAGAATGTCTCCTTTCTCCTGGTTGCAGGAAACATCTTTACATGGACCAAATAGAAGCTGAAGCAGGAAAATGTCTGAATGCAGCCATACAGCGTGTTGGGGGTATTTCTCATGAGTGTCATGTTTGGGTTAAGTTTCTTGTCCCACGACAAGCAGAATTACTTAGAGACAAAAGGCAAGTAAAAGTTATTTATTAAGATTTGATGAGGATGAAGAAGAGGGTCGGAGATCGGGCGGGTCCAGTAGTGTTCTGTGGCAGAGATAATGGTGATTAACTGTACAACATGCAGGGAATGAACAAGGTGAGTGGTGGCTTACAGTTTCCAGTATGACAGGGGAGCTCAGAGGGGGAGGCAAGTCAGGTCTGGCTGAGCGAGATGATCTGTGGGAGGCGAGAGCTGGGAGCTGAGCACCAGGAATCCAAGAGTTGAGCGGGCAGGTGAGCGTTGGAGAGCAGGCGGTCAGGGGAAGGGGCGTGGCTGGCAGATAGAGAGATCCAGAAGTTCCTTATTTCCTTGTGGTGAGCAGTCAGACGAACGAGGGTACCTGGGAGGAGGTCGGAGGAACAGGACAGGCGAGTACAAGCCTTAGCAGGCAGATCAGGAGGTAACAAGCTAGAAACTGGTCTAGCGCTGGCGAGATACTACCCAGTAAGAGCAATCATCCGGCGCAGTTGAATTGCCATGCCACTCCTTAAATCCCCTGACCACTGATGAGGAGATCCGCAGCAGCTGCTCTCCGGTACACGCCCACCTGCAAACAGAAAAGCTCAGGAGATGGAGGTTAGCTCAGCACAGACCATGACAATGAGGAAATAAAAACATACCATGGTAAAAAGCTCCAAAAAGTCGATTTTCCAGGATATGGAATCTTTAAACCTGGAAAAATGAAAATTTCGTCAGAAAACTCAAAACTGAACATTTGAGACTGATTTATTTTTATGATAAATAAATTACAGTAAATTAAATGTACATTATATTTCATTTTGCTGGGGGAGTGTTAACCAATTTACAATTAATTAGTTGTATTGTAGTATTGTTATAATAATACTTAATAAAGATGGATGATTATTAGAAATATCTGCCAAATGGATCTTGTAAAATGTAAAATGACATTGATAATTGAGTTAAGATTATTCAGCCATACTGGTGTTCTGGTGAGGCATGTGTCTGAATCATGTGTACATACAAACACAGAATCTAGACCACATGGTGGCCCATGAAGTCATTCTCACCCAGTTAAATTTGTTGTGGCTGAATATTCTCAAATTATTTATTGTCCAACAACTCCAAAGAAGCACATTTTAAAAATGAAAACCATGTCTTAAATACTTTGTATGGTTTATTTTTAAATTGACTTTGTATAAAATATTACTTCCATAGAAAAGTCAGTTACAGTGTGTGCATCTGTGACATATAAGTGCTGGTTGTATGCCTTTGAGCCTGAGCTATACCATACTGTCTCACTTCCTGTTGACTCATTTTGCAAACATGTCTTCTTCCTCTCAGCACCGACGCATGCTGGTGTTCTCTATGTGCTGCTGAACAGTGAAGATGCAGATCAGAAGTAGAGTGTGAAACTCCAAACAGTTTTTAAGACTAGTGTCATCATGCTGATTTAAATGTATATCAGGAACAATAAAGATGTTTTAATAAACAGTTTTCAACTATTTTTGCTCATTCGAGAATAATATACTTGAACACAATAACGTAGTTCATCGTTTGTGGCTTTGAATGGTTTTGTTAATAAAATCAGAAATCTCTTTTAAACCCTAAAAAAATTGATGATGCATGTCTAAAATTCAAGGCTGATAATTAGTCATTGTGAAGGTGAGCTGGCAAAAACTGGTGGGAAGATCAGGGAAGATGCTGCAGCTTCCATGACTCCTATGGATTAAATTTTGTACAATAAATGGACGTTATGTTAGTGACGTAAATTAACTGAATATTCTGAGGTTAAAAGCCATACAGGAACTCAACAAACGAGCAGTAAAAACAAATCCCCAAGACACTTTAAAAGCATTCATGTGGATTAAAACATGGTAATAGCTGCATTAGTGGGGATAACGAAGTATGCATTATGCAAGTTTGCATAAAAACATTTCAATAGTACAACTGTACATGTGTCATGAAAACACACATTCACATAGTAAGTGTAGCAAAGATGTTCCTACATTTAATTAGAAGCCATAAAATGTGAAATATCACGAAGTATGAAATTTCACCTTAATGGATCTTTAAGTAAATTTAATCAGAAGTTTGGATCTTTTTATCGCAGGGATTGAGTTTTAAAAGTTTAAAGATTTATTACTGAACAAATTACAACTAGACTAACTTTAACACTAGGTGTATGGTGTAACTAAGGTGAGGTAAGAATGATAATGGTGTATGTGTGAATATTTCAGAACCAGCAGATCTGGAAAAACGATTAATTCTGATGGGAGTGAAGATGATGTTTTGCGCCAGGCTTGGTTTGGAGATTTATAACACACATTGAGATGCCATTCTGCCGGCCTACATACCCTTTGTGGAAGTCCCCGTCAGATCAGGAATGTCGAGGTCCAGCTTGACCTTCTCTGGAACCAAAGCCAGTAGGAAAAGCAGTGGTTGCCGACCAGACCAGTCTTGAGATACTTCCGGGTCACGACAGTTTATTGGCATCTAACGAGACCCAAAAAGGGGTTGATGGTTCAGCTTTTATTCTGAAAGGGACCGTTGCAGCAAGTGGAACAGCAACAGATTTTATCCAGCCTGTCGTTAGGTTCTTTCGGCTGAAGAGGAAAGTTACGGATTGGCCACTCCGACGACTTCTCTAGAAAGCTTTGAACTCGAGTTAAAGATGACGTAGGCATAGTTTTATAATTTGGATGTTTTGATTTGCGGTCAAATCAAAAAGGGATAGATTTACCAAGCACCACCAAAACCACGCCTCGCATCGGACCTGGAAGGTTCTGAATGGATCAGAAAAAGCAATTTGTCATGTGACTTCTTACATTGCGTGTGATCAGTCTCTAGTGGAAACATTTAAAGTTATATTACTTATTATATTCTATAGGATTATAATATCAAGTAATTAATATTTTCATTTCACAGATTGGTTCACATTTTATTATTGGCTAACACTTTGTTTGATTAGCTTATTAAAATAGAGTTCTTTGTCTTCATTCTTCTCTTGAGCTGGAAGGGAAACAGTTTAGAAGCAAATGCATGACCTTGAGCAATATCTCATGCAGATTAGTTCTGTGTCAGAGACATCTGAGGAGAGAAGGTAAATAACCTTCGGTGGAATTGCTCCATCATCACGTTACATAAGTTAGTAAGTAAGTAATAACATTTTATTTATATAACACTTCTCACAGAGATAGAATCACAAACTTAGATTTAAACCAAATAAAACATAAAGTCATAAAATCGTAACCTTAAAACAGAAATAAATTTTAATAAGAATAATAAAGTCATAAAATTATAAAATATCATAAAACAAATGAAAGATGATTAAAAACTTGAGTTAAAAATAAGAAAATAAAAGATTTATCAGAAAACTTTGGGGTTTGTCAGCAGAAGACAAAATTTGGGGGACAGTGACCCTTGGAAGACACACAGTGTCACATGATGGGAGGACTGTAAGGGGTGATGTCATTTGGAGTGGTGGTGCAAGCGATAGCCAAAAAAGGTGTAGATGGTTGGCATAGGCAAAAATCCCAGGGGGGACTGGGGACATGTCCCTTCTGGCATAAAGTTGTCCCCCCCCCCCCCCCCCCCCCCCCCCCCCCCCCAAAAAAAATTGGAGGTTGGAACGTAAACTGTCATGTCTGCGAAAGGGAATCCACCAT